CAGAACAATCCACAGAAGATTTGCCTCAAATATTTATTTGCAAGATAAAGAATGAAATCTGTGTATGTGCATTCCCAACAACAGTAAAATCAGACTTTTCCTATTGTGCAGTATCTGCTCGCTGGCTACTTTTAAATTACCTATAAAATGACTTTCACATTATGAGGTGATTGGCCTGGGACAGTTCCAGAAGATAACTCTTGTAGTTTTACATCCAACTTTACATGATTTGTATTGTGTCTGCATTTACAAAATAAGGCATTTTCATTCCACTCTGCCAGATACAAACTCTCTAACCCTGAACACTAGTCTAGCCAAAACCATGGTTTCTTAATTTGTAAATGTAATTACAGAGCAGTATGTTGTCTGTGTTGTGTGACACCAGTTCTGCTCTGTAGTCTTTTCTTACCTCCACAACTCCATGATGAATAGATGTGTACTGCTTCTTCTTCAGCATCACCAAAGTAATGACAATCACTGTTGCTATGACAACACCTCCCACCATTAGTCCAATGATGGCACCTTTATTTGAACCCACATCTTCAGCAAAGAACACCTACAAAAGAGAAATAAAGAAAGGTGGCTAAAAAGTCAATTGAGTATTTGGCTAACCTGTCCAGCTGCCACAGCAATATAAAATATTGGGGGGAGGGACTGGGCAGCATTGCATGTCACCCTAATTATTAAAAACTGAATTGCTGTAACCACAAAGCTCCCATGGTAGAAGAAGAACAATCTGGGAAATCTGTATTGCCTAAGGCATGGCAGTGCTATGGCTAAGGAGAAGACTCATCTCCATGTCTCTGCTTCATATGGGTCTTAAGATAGTAACTGCTGGGTTGTTTATATTTTTTTATTGGGTGAGTCAAGCTAATTGCAAAATGACTGATAAGCTTGTACAGGAGTAACCAGGAAGTATGCAGATTTATTTATTTTTAGAATGCTATTCACAAAAGTGTTCATAAATTACATCTGTGCAGCTTATTTGGACTATGTCTCATACATTTCTTTGATAAAACAGCAGATCTGTAAGAAAACAGTGAAACTTGCACACAACCTGTTAGGAGAAAATTCTCACATCAAAGCAGCAAGAGTCCAAAAAACAGGAGCATGCTGATTTAAGTGGCCACCAAGGGATGCACTGAGATTTTGCAGGGTAAAGGGAGAATGAGCTCTACCTGGATGACAACCATACTCATGTGAGACATAGATGAGATGACAGTTGTGTGAAAAAACAGAGAAGATTCCTTGAATTATGTGTACTGGCACAACAAATCAGTGGGCAGTGAGATGCTTTACTATGCATCTAGTAAGACTGGCTTTTCATACCTGCTCCTGTTGCTAAAAGTGGGCGATTTTTTTCACTGTCCTGCTTGGTATTTCAGGAATATGCTGGATTATTTCACATCTACGTGTACTTTACAAACCTTTTGTCTGTGCTTTATTATTATTGTTTTTAATCAAAACAGGCAAAAAGTATTAGAGGGTAATTACATTCACAGAATTGTAAGACTCCCTCACTCTGAAAGACTAAATGCTTTGACAAGTATTTAACAAAAATACAGAGAGAAGCAGGAAACCAGCTGAGAATTATAATGAGCTGTATTACATTTGCACTCTTTAAGAAACACAATCCTCCTCAGAGAAGCATGAAGTATAAATATTTATATTGTTCCTAGTCACAAGCAAGAAATGTGCTTAATGTTAAGAATCCAGTGGCAAGTACACACAATGGACAGTGTTGGCATAAGCTGATGTGAAGTAGTAATCTTTTCTGTCAATTTTACCTGCCCAGGACTGAAATTCTGTTACCCTTCTATTTTGGATCACTGTGAAATGCCCCAGCTAATACACATGTGCAATAGAGGAAGGAAGGCCTTAAGCACTCAGAGCCATGAAAATCAATTCAATGTACAGTTAAAACATGAGCATTCATCAAGGAGAAAAAACCTGCAATTTCAGCTCAATTCAGAAGCTTGCATGTAAAATACAATGTATAGCTAAATTCAAAGCAATATCCTAAGGAGACTGTTTCAGTAAATCCTACCAGGGCACAGGAGAAGGAAAACATACAGAACTATTTTCTGCTTACTGCTGTTGAATTAAAGCTAATGAAGAAGGGCATCAGCTAGGATATGGCATGTGGCAAGCCAGCAATGCCCTGTAAGGCATCAGTCTAGTACTTTCTTAGCAATTCTGGACTCCTTGCTCAGCCTCTATTGAAAAGATACCCTAGAGGACAGCTTATTAATTTTTAAAGAATAGTTGTACCTATCAGTAAGTAGTATGGCATAAAAATCCTTGAAAAAGCTGGAAAGGTCCTGTTTTAAGCCTCACACAGGTAACTCAAGTGGAAGGATTGCAATGCACTCCCCATCAGCCACCATAGTAAGGGTCGTTTCCAGCACCAAAGTACTTAGGGTGGTATCAAACCACTTAAACATCGAGGCTTCTACTGGGAAGTGCCTGTAACACAGGATCAATAACTACTGTGTCTAAAACACATTCTTGCAAGTTCCTTCAGTAAACTGCACAGGTTCACCCCATCAGGATGCTTAACCCATCTGAGCTAAGCACGTCAGAATTTCCCAAATTAGCGCTAATGCATTTTGGATTAGCTCATCAAACTGGGAATTTTCAGTTCTCAGCATCAAAGAGATGGCAGAACATCTTTTCACACAGTGATTGCCTAGTTCAAATGCAAATTTGAGTCCCATGTTAATTTTAATTTTCAGCACTACTTAGCTTTAAGAATATATTAAGAAAAAAAAGCTTTCAAGTTTAATACCAGGATATTGAAAATCACGGAACTGAAATCTCATCATGTAATATACCTTTACAATAGAGGGAGCAGGAAAGTTTTATAGTGAACACTGCTGTATGGATTCTTCATTACTTGTTAAGGTACTGAAAGGTTTTAGAAGATGCTTGTTGTTGCTTACATTGCTTTTTTTTCTTCTTAAGAAGTAGAGTTCAAATGGGGAACAATACTCCTACTTGCCCTTCACCTGTTAATAATTTAATACACTTTAAGGAACAAAACACACAGATAAAGCCAAGTACAAATCAAAATTATGGCCAGTGGAGAATGTCCTCCAATGTCAAGCAGGCAATCTTATGAAAGGTTATGCTCCACGCATTTCAGACTCCTTCATGCACCACCACCACCTGTTTTGACAGAAAAGGAATCTATTCCTGAAAGTGTCACTCTATTTCTTGTTGCACCACACTGCACATCTCCATCAAACTTTTTAAGAAAAATTATTTTTAAACTTCGTATTTTCCTTCCTCTGTATCCCTTCTCTTTAGTTATGTGACCATGACAGATGGACTGTGGGACAAGTATTGCCCATATGACCACACCTGGTCACATGGCAGTTCAAGGGAAAGGAAATGTTAGAATTTCCTCTCACTTGAGACTTGACAGCTTTTCATCCACTCTGCTGAAGTTATCCCAGGATTCCTCTCACTTAAGAGAGAACTAGAAAAATCATAATCCGTTCACTCGAAAACTTTTTGTTGGCATTTCTGGCATCCGCATCACTCAGGGGAAACACGACCACATTTGACTCGCTAGTTCAAGACTGAATCTGCAACTCAAAACACATATGTGTAAAGCACTGTTTGTTCACTCACCAGCTTTTGATGATGAACTTCATATCCTGAGTCATGCCGGAACTCCGCATCCATCTTCACTTCGGATATCTCTTCTGTCTTAACGTTGGTCAGCCCGGAGCCTGCATTGCACCCCAATGACATTTCATTAACATCGTCAACTACGTTACACTCTGCTTACCTCCACCATTACAAGAGCAGAAGGCAATGGTATCATTCACAGAGAGGAGGTGTGATGCAACATGAAAGGGAACTGGGAAGAAAGTGAGGTACATCTGATGTTTCAGCCCCACTGAGGTGACACAGAATGAGCTGGTAAAATTTCTCCTCTATTAAATGTTCCTTAATTCACTGCAGTTATGTTGGTACAAGCATCAAAGGCTTCAGTATGAAACACAGCTAAAACGCAGCTGCAAGGGACCAACAGCAGACTCCTGAACTGGCTCACAGAATGCAGACAGATCTGCTCTGACAGCCTCTTTAACAATGACAAGAAAATGAGGTGTTTGGGCCAAAATCTTCCTCCTTCCTAAGCTCAGGCTGCTGTGAGGAAAAAAAAACATACACACGGTGTGAGGTGGGGAATCCCATATATTATATTTTCTTGCTTCTTGTTAGTCTAAATCTTTTGCACAAACATGAGAATTAAAATACCTGTGAAGTTTACACAGTTGATATTTGTTTTCATATTCCAGACTTCTCAGATTCAAGTGCTGACTTCTGCCTGAGAGATGATAACTCTCTCTCTTGATTGGAAACATACAGCAAAGCAAGTAGGCAAAGCTTGCAGTTATTTTAACTGTACATAGTTTGCAGTCCTGGTCTCCCCTTACGGGTGTGAAAGAGAGATGCTGCACTTGCCTAACTAGAAAGAAGGCCACGACTTCCTCCTGGAAAACAGCCTTAAGAGAATGAGCCAGACTAACAACAGCTAAGCAGTGCATGGTATATGTGTATCTATGAATGTTTTGACCTGAAAAGCTGGCTCTGGCTTATAAAGAACACTTGGGTATTCACGTTGCTGGTTATTTTCCTTCTCAGTACCAAATGACTGACATCTATTTCCTGGAGGTACAAACACTGCAGAAGCATGGTGTTTCTGAGCAGTTCATTTCCTCACCCATCTAATATAATACAAACAAAGTGGTTCATATTCCTTGTCTATATATTTTTTAGCAGTTTATAAATCCAATTCCTCTCTCCAAGCCTCCATTCTGATTCTTCATATTTTAGGCTGATTATGAGCTCTGATGCAGAGGAAGAATCTCTTTTAAAATTTTCAACACTTCTGACTGCTCTTGTGCTCCATCATCTCTCAGGACTCTCAATAAATTCTTAAAGACATCTATATGCCAATCAGCTCTAAAGTCTAAATTAGTGCTAAATGCAAGAACTGTCACCCTTTTATGGCCTTTGAATGCACAATTATTTTTTTTTAATTTATTTTTGTATTGAGTCAGCAAGAACAGACAATCCCAAGAACTTCTCTGGACCATACAGAGAATACCTTTCTAAGGTTCTGATACTTCTTTTCACAGTCAGCCATGCAAAGGACAAAACATGAATCATCTTCATGCAGTAAAGTGTTTATGTTTTTCTTTCTTGAACAGTCTGAATGCCCCATAAATTCTAAATTAGTGTCTTTTTTTTAAGGAATAAAGCACTTAAAGACCTCCAGTTTCTTTATTAGTATCTGATTTGTGATGCCACATTACAGTACTGACACAAGTCTATGACATTTGCATACGAGAGACCGTTTATAAATGCAAGAACTGCAATGCATTTAAGGAATTGCAGTTTGAAAACAAGCCATGATGTTTTACGAATGAAATACAGCAGGAAACCGAGATGAAGGAAATAAAACCCACACGGTCCCTGAAAAGAGGTTTAACTTTCTATTCTTGAAGCAGCTGTGGTTAGCTTTCCAAACTAAAATAACAATACCATTTACTCTCCTTGTGCATTACCCCAAACTAGCCCTTACACCTGCATCATTGGGAAGTGAAGAAAATGAGATTTTGTACCTGGCTGGGCAGAGGCTCCCCTCTTCAAACCCTCCACATTTTTGTTTTTAGGATTGAAAGAGAAGGGGGGGAAATCTAACAGTGCTTCACATAGATTAAACAGCTGGAGGGAAAGGGCTTACCTAGGACTTGATTTGCTGCACACAGCTGCAGCAGCTAATGAGGCAGCTGGCTCCCAGCAGCTCTCCACTGTCTACAACCACACTTGCTGCCCTGTTGACTCGCCGGCAAAAGCACCACATGCAAACTCCCCAAAGGCAAGGACATGGGGAACTGCACAGCTTTACTGGTACAGCTGGCACATTCACTGAAGCTATACATATTGATTAGGACATATCCCTACATATAATGAGATACATCTGTGAAGAATCAACTTATTCTTTGTTGATGGATGTCCTGCCTCCCAGACCTCTTGGAGGTTGCTGAAGAGTTAGGAAGCACATGGAAAACAGTGATTTGGCTTGGAGGGAATCTGGATTTCAAAAAAAATCTTTGAGAAGGTCTCTGATCAAAGCTCTGGCAGAAGCTAAGATGGTGAGAATTAAGATGGAAAGTCCTACACCACTTCCCAAAATTAATCAAAAGATAGGAAATGAAGTGTAAATACACAGCCATTTTTCACAACGGAGGAAGATTACCAGCAGGGTCACATAAGGATCTGTGCTGTGCTGTTTGTAAAGTGATCCAGATAAGGGAGTGGATAGTGACGTGACAAAATTTACTGACAAAAATTAAAAGAAGACAACAGTTGAAGTAAAGCTGCAAAAAACTGCAGAAGGATTACAAAGGATTACAAATTCCGGGTGTGCAATAGAAGGAAAATGATATTTGATGTTCGTATAATGTAAATTGGTGTTCACAGGGATACACAGCCCTAACTATACATACACAATAACAGGTTCTAAATTAGCTCTGTTCCACCCAGGACAGAGACCTTGCAGTCACTGTGGACAAGCCTCTGTGGGCAGTTGGCTCAGTAGCAGTCAAGAAGGCAAAGAGAAAGCTAGGAGTAATCATGAAGGAACAGAGAAAACAGAAAACATTATTACATCACTGTATAAATGATGCAGCTTAATTTTAAATTTTGCTGTCCATTATGGTCACCCCACCTCACACAAAGGCAGAAGAATTAGGAAAGATACAAAGCAGGGAGAAGACAGACAATGACTGTACAAGATTTCTGTACAAGGACCAGACAAATATGCAGTCTTCAACTGGAAGAGACAACCAAGGGGGAACACTACAGAGGTCTATATGACTGAGTGACAAGGAAGAAGTCTACGGGAAACAGTTATTCGTTATTTCTCCTAAGGAAGGACAGGGCACCAACAAGGCTATGACACAGCAGTTTAAAAACTAACAACAGAAAGTGTATTTGTACCTAATTTGGCACAATGCAAAACTGGACTGTGGAACTCATTAGCACAAATCATGAGGATGCTTAAAATGCAAATGAACAAAGAAGAATGCTTCATCCAGGGTTACTAAACACAATGGTGAAAATACACTTTCCAGTCCTGGAAGTCTATGGAATCCTGGGTGGCAAAAGTTCAGTGGATGTGTCAGGAGTATATAAGGCAAAGCTGAAGTCTGCAAGTTTCCTCTATGCACCACCGCCAGAAGCAAGAAAATGGGCTTGGGTACTTTGGCTCTTGGGCTCTGCCCATTTTCAGTGAAAGCAAGCTATGGCAGTTTAGACTGTAGGTCTTTGTTAGCTGCAGTTAAACAGACAAATGCCACAGGCAGGAGTTACAGCAGTATTTCAGTGGGCAGAACAGGTCAGGAGCCTTTACATCAATGAGTGATAGAGGGTGACAAGTTTATCAGTCACCTCAGCTGTGGGAAAAACACAGGCTCAGGCTTCCCTAAAGCCACATCTCCCTGAGGATTCCCTTCCCTCCTCCAATCAAACAACAGCACAGGAGCCGTGCTTCCAGCCTGCAGCAGGTTAAACAAACTTTTGCCTTGAGATGCAGCAGAAATTTTTTGTTTTGGGCCATATGAACAGGCCTGGTGGCCAACCTGGCTTTACTCACCAACTCACAAAAATGCCATGGGATCTGAACAAAAAGTGGGACCTGATATTACGAAGTTATTAATGTTAAATGTAACGTTAATATAATGTTAATGGTAAAACTTGTCTCTGGAGTTAGCAAAGGAAAAAGGTCAGAAACATAAACAATCTTCTGTTCCACTAACAAACCAATTTTTGCAATTGGTTTGCAATTTTTTCCTTCCTCCTATCTCCCTCAGAAGTGAGGAAAAAGACTTTGAAGGGTACAACTAGTGTAATCTGATGGTGTTCTGCAAATGATTGTTTATATGGTAAAAGAAACATGATGCTGCATTGGAATCAATGCAATACTTGGTATAAGACAAAAGTATACATGGAGTTATATATGCCTTTCTGTCCTGTTATAGTATACATTTTGGACTTTCTATTTAATATACTTCTCCTTATTTCGAGTTCCTTCACTTTCCTGTCCTGATGACTAGTATTTAGATCTATGTGCTAAAATAATAGATTTATTTTTCAAAGGTAGTAACTTTAGTAAGTAGTAGTAAAGTAGTAAAGTAGTAGTAAAGTAGTAAAGAAGCAAAAAAATGAAGTGTATTTCCAAAACTTTTGTCAGAGATGTGTGAATCAGGTAAGATGCAAACAGCAAAGGGCTGCCTAATGCCACTCTACTCTTGCCTTGAACACATGCACGTGAAGAGAAGTTAACTCTATGACAAGAACTTTAATTCTCACACAAAATTATGTTTTCACTGCCAAGTCTAAAACGCATAACCCAAAACCACAAGCCAATGTAAAAAAGAAAAGTGACAGAAACACCCTCACTACAAATCCATGAGTAATGATAATTATTAATGTTTTTTCTTCTGAATTACATACTATCTTCAGGGAGTTGCATTCCTAATTACTTCATACTTAAAAGGCTACAATTCAGCTGGTAAATATATTAACTCTCAACTCCTTAGAAAAACTGTCAAAACAATTTAGCTATCAAAAGCACGGGCTTAAAAGCATCTAGTAAAATACAACAAAATGAGATATCTGATGGCCTTTTAATTATATTGTTGTTAAGTAGCATTGT